GAAGATCAATTTGAAGGATTTTGGTCTTGAATAGGAAGCCATAGTTGATGGGACCTTGACAGAGCTGCATCCAACCACACCAGTGTCTTGCTGTGATAGTCTTCCAGGAGGAAGGCAATTCAGGAGCCTATGGAGACAAGCGAGCTGATAATGGGGTGAACCAGACTCATGGAAGACGGGGAATCTATATGGGTAGAGAAAGGGAACCCCAACCCCTGTTTCATGGGTGGAATGAGTTTTGGTCGAGAAAATTGAGGAGACTTACGCAAGTAAATTGTAGACGTTGATCTTTGAAGGATAAGATGTCTATAGTTGGGTTTATCACGTGGAGAGATACTTTGTTATTATGGGCTAATGGAGGAAAAAAGTTTATGGCGGTGGTCTTGTGTTTGGAAGGAAAAGTTCTAGCATGGTGTCAATGAAACGATCAATGTTGACCAATTAGAATTTGGAAAGAATTCAAGGATCGATTGTAGGATATTGTGAGAACCACACATAATAAGCAATATTTTGCATTAGTCCATAAAGGGTCATCATGGATTATAGGGAGAAATTTGAGATGCTATTTGGCCGTTTGAGAGGGATATTAGAAGAAGTGCTGGAAGGAAACTTTATAAAATGGTTGAAGCCAGAAATTCAAGTAGTGCTTCATTTGTTGAGATCGCAGTGATTGGGAAAAGTTATTGAATCAACGCAATTGGTTGAAAAAAAAAAATGTAATGAAACGACCTAATAGCGGCAACACAAGTTGAGCGCCATACCAAAATGCTACAACCATGATGAGACAAAAAATTCAAATAGTGGGATTCCAGAGAGAGATTCTACAAGACATGATTATTGGGAAAAATTATGGAATCAACACAATTGGTTGAAGATAAAAATTTAATGGAACGACCTATTAGGAGTAGCACAAGTGGAGCGCCATACTAAAATGCTACAACCATGGTGAGACCAAAAATTCAAATAGTGGGATTCCAGAGAAAGTTTCTACGATAGGAATATTGGACTACGATTGGGTGCAACATTCAAACGCCTTATAGAGATAGAGATTCAAGAGTAACAAGCTAAGGGGTTATGTTTTCGGTGTGAAGAGAAGTTCGCCTCTGGACACAATTGCAAGGATCGAACCTTACAAGTTCTTATAGTATGTGATGAGGAGGCAGGGGATGAAGAAATATAGGAGGCTATGGTGGAGTTGAAACAGTCTCACTTGGATGTGTCAGAAGTCTCATTGAATTCGGTGGTGGGGTGAACCACACTATGAAACTTCAAGGACAAATCAGAGAGCGGGACGTAGTAGTGTTGGTAGATATTTGGATCACCCACAACTTTATCTCTACTCAAATAGTGGAGCAATTGGGGCTTAAGATGGTTGACACATTCATTTTTGGAGTCATGATGGGGTGGGACAGGTGGAGAAGAGCAGAGGAGTTTATAAATGGGTGATTTTAACACTGCAAGGTATTCATGTGATGAAAAATTGTCTTCCCATGGATTTAGGGAGCATTGATGGGTATGAAATGGTTTTATTCGATAGGGGAGACTTGAATGAATTGAATGCTCTTTACTATGGAGTTTTAAGGGGGACAAGATGGCGATGCTTTGCGGTGATCCTTTCTTGTGCAAGATTTTAGTGACACACAAGACCATGGTTAGGGCACTACAAGACGCAAGGTCGGGACACATGACACATAGTTGGCAGAAATTTTGACATCGACCCAATAACTCATACAATAATTTGCATAAGCTTTTCAGTTGCCATACAGATTGCCGTCTCGAAGGGAACACGAGTATGCAATAACCCTAAGATAGGAGGTTTCTCTCGTCAGTGTGTGCCCGCCCATACCTCTACTTCCAGGGTTTCAGCTCAACACTAAAAGAGTTGGTTGAATCTTCTGGTAGAAAAGGAGGTGATCAAATTAAGGAGATGGAGTTTAAGCTTCACATAGACTTAAAAGACTTGTTGACTGCACTTTGCAATGATAAAAAAACTATAATTGTTGTTCTTAGTGGAAGATATAGAAGTATCTTGTATTATTATTTTGGAAAATACAATCTGTGACAGGTAGGAAAAAATGGGATATTTTTGTGTCAAAAAGATGGAGAGTGGATGACTACAAGGCTAGAACATTTTAACATGGATGGGGTTGACAGTGTGAAGCATGTTTAATTGAAAGAACCCTTACATTTCACTTTGAGCATGGAGCGACCTCACCTATGACATCTATGGAAATGTCCAACTTTTTATGCAACTTTTGATGTCATCCAAGATAGTTGATCAGTTGAAGTCTGATCCGCAGGAGTCACTAAGAGTGTTGCAATTGATCGAATATTAGGAGAGTTTGCGTGCAACAAGAACATGGTTACACTAATAGATTTTTTTTATGTATCCAACACTTTATGAGAGATGATGATAATATAAAAATTCTCTTGGAGCCATCTGAGTTAATAGGGATGTGCTCGGAATCGACAGATGGGAAAGAAATGTCGATTAAATGAAAGAGATTGCCAGATTATGACGTATTGTGGGAGTCATACGACTTGATCTAGCGGTTGTTTTTTCTTCCATTTTGAGGACAAGATGCCTTTTTCGGAGGGGAAGAATATTAGACCGATGCCATAGTAATTTGAAAATTTATCTTAGGCACAAGATTAAAAGGGCAATGTAGTCATTCATAGTTATTATTGTGGGGTATAAATAGGGCTTAATATGCTTTATGTTATGTGTGACTCTTTTCTTGAATCTCAGGTTTAGGGTTTAGGTTTAGGAGAGATCGCCTACCTCTCAAATTGTTGGTGTTTATCTTTTATTTATTCGGGATAATATCTTTTTGATTTGATACTGGTAAAATAAAATCTATTATTTTTGCCCTAATTTTGCGGGATCTTGTCTCATTCCTATCAATATGATAAGTTAATTCACTTGAGAGGCTTTATATAACTAGTTCCTATAAGTATCAATTAGATCTCTACATTTATAACTATCAATTAGATCTCTACATTTTTTAATTCATACTAAGATATACTTAGCCATGTAAATCTTTTCATATATTTTGATCTCTTAGATCATGTTAAGATATCTTGGCTAGATCTCTTCATATAATTTTTTATCTTATAGATCATATTAAGATACGACTTTCCATGTTAGATCTCTTCATATATTTGATTCTTTGGATCATATTCGGATATGCTTTAACTAATTAAGGCATCCATAGCTTTGATCTTTGAACCATATTAGGATAATTTCTAACTAGTTATCTTATGTGGACAACTAATCTTGTGAACAAAAACTAATTCGAATGACTTGGATGTGAGTTCTGATGAATTAGGAGCTTTTAGAATTAGCTAGATATGAGCAATTTTAAATTGTAAGCTTATTTTAAGGCATTCATCACGTAACACATTCCTTAAATATTGGTGCAACCTAACTCTCTCCATGAAGTTCTTTTTATGAATTTATATGCCACTAAAAGAAAAATCAAGGAGAAAATAAACAACAAATTAATCATTCGTCATATGAATAAGTTCAATGTATAGTTCCTCTAATAGTTACGTTATTAGATTGAATATTATTTTTGCATATTTATCATGTGTTAATCCTTAGATTGATCATGCAGTTTATGTTGTTATTCACTAAATAGCAACTAGTGCTATCTAAGTTTGTTTTGTTTGAGCTCATGAAGTAAAACTTTAAAAATAATGTGAGCATGAAACTCTATTTTTTGATTTGTCATATTCAGCTCATAGACATATTTTATATGATGAATAAATGTTTCAAATTATTGCTTAAAATGTGAAAATATAATTTCAAACCTCATGATAATCACATTATGTTCATTTATTCAAAGTTCTTTAAATTATTTCATTTTTTTTGTTTTAGTAAATAATATGGCTTCATTAGTTAACATGGTGTAATCACAAGCTCTAATGCCAATTAGATGCCTTATGGTTTAGGATTTAGGTTTCCTATTGTAACTAGAATGATGCAACAAATAAAAATATTAGGATTCACAAATGAAAGACCATCAAGTATGTAAAAATTTACTCTTTTGGTAGAAATTCAGAAATATGAGAATTTAGCCCTATTGGCATGGTGTAATCACAAGCTCTAATGCCAATTAGATGCCTTATGGTTTAGGATTTAGGTTTCCTAATGTAACTAGAATGATTCAACAAATAAAAATATTAGGATTCACAAATGAAAGACCATCAAGTATGTAAAAATTTACTCTTTTGGTAGAAATTCAGAAATATGAGAATGTAGCCCTATTGATAATATATTGATCTACTAAATTCAATGAAATTAACAAGGCATTAATCAAAAGCAGCAATTGAAAACTTTTCTATCAAAATTAGAAATATAGTTTTATCAAATTCGAACAAAATTATGAACTCTGGCAACTCAATGCAAATTATTTAGCAGAACTAGAAAAGGAAATAGATTGCCAAAACAAAGAAATTCAGGTTTCATGCCGGTAGAACATTTACTTTCGCTGCACTCGATGGAATCACCTATACAACATTTTTTTAAAATTGAAATTGGAACAAAAAAATTATTTAATCCATCAACTATTTAATTATATCTCAGGATTCTATTTATAAATTTCTCTTCCCTAATTTAGTAGAGGTTTGCTATCATAACAGCCCACGTTTCAATTCCAAATTATCTTAAAATTTAGACTTTATTTCATCAAAATTGCAAGTCTTTGGTGGAAAGAAGTACGGAAGACATAAATTTTTTAAAAGCTGCTAGTAACACTAAGCTTGCGGGACTTAAGGCTGGTAACCCAAAACCATGAAGCATGGAGGGCTGAAACCGCAGGTTGTGTTTATAAAGAAAAGAGAGTCGAAACACTAACCACAAAGACAGAAAGGCCTAAAACTGTTTCAGTATTGCAGCTACAGTACAGTATTATTTACATGTTAATAAATTTTTTTTTTCCATTTTATGTCTTGTTAGCAATTTTTGGTGATTGTTAACATTTGCTTTATAATTTTAGCCTGACTTGAAGTATGGCGAACATGAGGATATCACAGAAAGCATCCATATGTTAGAGGAGAAACTCAAGGAACAGGTATAAAATTTCACAAGCTACAATAATCTCTTGTCGTTCTTCCTCCTATCCTCCTATTCATTTGTTAATCCGTGTTTTTATTATATTAATTATTGTCATATTAAAAATACGTACTTTTCGTATTCATATTTTTTGGACTGAACAATGCTAGCTTGGTACACCATGTTTATAATCTAATTCAGGCATACTGTAGACCACCTCAACCACGGTAAAGTAGGAGAGAGAAAATAAATAAAAACACCCTTATAGTAAATATAGTTCTTCTTGTGGTTTAACCTTTTAATTATTTTTACCCTCTTTTGATGGTTTGACAGGCTGCTAACCGGAAAGGTCTGCTCCTTAAACTAGAGAAGGCTGCCATGGATGCCAAAGAACAACAACAAAGGTAGGATTTGCCATCACCTATTTATTTTTCGTTGAGGAAGGACTGAAGGACATGCTTAAGAGAACCACTTATTACAATCTTATTTGCTCTTAAGAGCTGTATTTCAGTTCATAAGATTTTCGACTGCATTCCTTAGCACTTTATAACTGATTACAACTAACTTTTGCTTCTTCTCACTTTAGCGAAGTAGAGCTGTTGGCAATGGACCGTCTTGTAGAGAGAGCATACGACAGATATAAGGTAATTTCTTTTTGCCATTGCCTATCAAAGTCACTTTACTACTTTATGTTAATTGTAATATATTGCTTTTATAGTTTTTTTTTTGTTACATTCACTTATAGTAGTTTTTTCTTCCCAAGTTATCAACACATTGTTGAAGGGAAACGCCTCAAATATGGTAAAAAATGCATGAATTACAATTTTTTTTTATCATGATCTCAATTGTTTCATTGTACAATATTTTCTTCTCCCTTAACACATTATAGGGAAAGCCTTTTCTAATTTATGGGGCAAGCTTCATATCTATGTTTCCTTTTAATTTAGAAAAATGTGTCAGCAACATGTTCTGAAATGCTTCATTGGTTAAAAATATATGAACTACATCTCTTCAGTACAATGTTTGCTGTTTAGCTACTAGTATGAGGTTATCGAACTCTTTCTATTTTACCCAAATATTAGTTTGGCCTTTTTTTTTTTTTAATTTCTATGGCTAGGGACGTGACATTCGTCAGCAGGGAAATTGTGATGTATATTGGACTTTGTCCAATGGTCTTTCAACTTTATTTATTTTGGTTTAATTATTTGTATGACCTAGCAATATTACTACAATTCTTATCAAGATGCGTTAAGGGCAAGCCAATGTTTATGGTGGCTCTCTTTGATGCCTTTTTGTTTGTATGCTTTGCTTAATCTCGAGAAAGTTTGGGTGTCACAAAGTACTTATTTCAGATCTTCAGGCTCTATTTTCCATCTTTTAATATCATGTGAATGCAAAATTAAATTCCTTGAAGACTACCTTTGCAAATGGTGCAAGAGAGGCTGTTAAATTAAGATATTGGGGCATGCAGTCTATAGTTGACTGGTGGGATAATTCTAGATTGTAGTGAATTTCTTTAGGTCGTAATATATACTAACTTGGTCATTATACCACTTAAGATATTAGCAGAACAAAAATGATTTTGCTTTATATTTTTATTTTCACTTCTAAACATCTTTAATTTCCAAAAGTTTTTGAAATGTGTCACTTTGGATGCCCAGTTAATCTGTTATTTATATTTTAAGTGCCTTTTTTATTTCATTAAAAGGCTTCCAAGTTCTTTCTTGCTTGTGCTACCTTTTTTTTTATATTTTCCTTTTTCTTTTGCTTTGATGTGACAAAATTAAGGGTTGATTTTCCTTGCTAGCTGAACGTCTGCTAATTATCTTTATCTGCTTTTCTATTCTTGTTAGGCATGCGGGCGTCCTGGTACTTCTGGTTCCAGGAACGTGAGCAAAGTTGCTAAAAATGCTAACATGGCTTTTGTGAAACGAACATTGGCAAGACTTGACAAGTTTGAAGAAACTGGTGTTAGCTGCTTTGATCAGCCCATTTTCAGGGATATGTTTTCCGCTTCTTCCCATTGCAGCAATTCACAAAGTATGGACATTTCTGCAAATGGTGAGCCTTCTAATCTATTTGTTTCTGCACATAATTTGGTAGAGTTTGCAATATTTTTTATTTTTATTCGGTCTCATTTACTGTTGTCCTTGGATAAACCCTCGTTGTTCATCCCAGGTTCCCATGAGAATAATGTTGAGGATTTGTGGTATTATGAACAGTCAATTTTAAAATTATCCCAAAATTGATGGAACAAATAGTATTTGTTAGTGCTAGGGCGTTCTTGATAAATGATGTGTAAATGGTGAGCCTTCAATTTAACCTGATTACAGTGAAAAGCGAGAAAAGGTTGGTTGGGATGATACTTTTAAGCGAGTTATAATTTAACTCGATTGTCATGATAAGTTGGCCAAATCTAAAGCTATGATTGGACTTAAATGGAATTTTGGGAACTTAAATGAAAAAGGCCGTAAAGTAGTTGACATAATAATTGGAAGAATAATGAGTATTGAAAATGTGCAAGTGGGGAAAGAAAAATGAAAGAATGGGGATTAAAAGTTTGGAAAACTTAACCATAGAAATTGAGTAGGGATAGTAGTGGGTGGAGTGAAGATAACATTATTCAGGTGAGTAGTGTTATAATGGTATGATGATTGCCTCAAAAATAGTTGATTAGTGTTTTATGCAATTAGTCCCATGCCTGTTAAATTGTGTTTTAAGAAACTTTGGAGAAAAATCTCTCTTTTTTTTTTAATAAATGGATGGGCTGATAAATTCTGTATGCTAAACATGATAATTATCATTGCTGACTTCACCAGCCATGAAAATGTTAGGAGGATGTGTGCCAGGCGTGAAATATTAGATATCAATCTGATGGAAGCTATTCTTGGAATTCAGAAATATCTCTTCTTGCAATAGTGAAAAAATACTTATAAGAAATGAGAAAATAATTTAGTTTTTTTATAAAGGTCAAGCTGCTCTGTCACAAATTTGTTGTTTTTAATTTAGAAGGAATTAAGCAACTTCTCAAATATTTTTAGGTCATTAAAAAAAGAAAACTAGGCATGCATGAATAAACTTATCATTACCATTCAAACTAGAACCTATGAAGTATTCATAAAATCATTTCCAGATAATTGGGACATGGCATTAAATAATGATCATTGTAATAAATGTGCTTGTTTTGCACCCACATATGATTTTAAATTTGATTGTATACATTTCTATAGTGCGTGTAAACTACTTGGGTGTCTCATGTGCATATTATTCCATGTTCTGAAGTTCAAATTGTTCTAAGGGAGAGTTTCCAGCAAATTTGGTTTTAATATGTATTTTAAGTCACTAGAAGTCTAATAACCTTCCATTTTTACAGATCACAACGCAGTTACAAATTCACAAATTACTGGAAAAGCAGACCTACATGAAAAATATTCCAGTGCTGCCCTACCGCATCCATTTAGGGAAGGCGAGCCCGGGTCGAATCGCTTGAAAAAGAGGGAAGTATCTCTTGATGATGTTGCTGGCAGTTCATTTCCCTCTTCAAGAACTCCAGTTCCTGGAACTTCTATGGTCAGTAGTGCGAAGGGTAAGAGGAGCGAGAGAGATAGGGATGGCAAAGGGCACAACAGAGGCTCTTTATCTAAGAATGGCACACCCAAGGTTGGTCGACCGGCTTCATCTGGCAGCCTTAAGGCTGAAATGAAATGCAAATCAAAGCCAAAAACCAAGACAACCCAATCATCCACTTCCGCGAACGTTCTTCATGGAAAGAATACTGAAACGTCTGCCGCTGGTTCGCCGCTCCCTCCGAAATCATCTGGATTCGGTGCTCGGGATGGCGAGAAGAACGATAATTTGTGCTCGCTTCCAGATTCTGGAATAAAAAAATTCTCAAACAGTGGTGAGGCTGTTGACTCGAGTAACCTTCCACTCGATGTTTTTGAAGGCCAAGGTCAGGATATTGCCTCATGGTTGAATTTTGATGATGAAGGATTGCAAGACAATGGTGACTATGTGGGTCTTGAGATTCCTATGGATGATCTCTCCGACGTTCATATGATGATATGAGGCTGGTATCCTTGTACAGCTTTTTTGGCAAATAGGGACTACTTATATAACCATACCGTGATACTGGTAGACACCCCTTTTTGAGTTTATAGATTCTTTCAGTACAAATTTCTAATAATTGTTCTTCTCTACTGTAAGGAATGCTTGATCATCGTTCATCGCACATTAAGATTTGTGCGGAAGGCGTGATGGACTGTGATCTATCATTCCTTATGGTATAAGGAGTTTCCTATGTAGAAATTTTGTCCATTCTTTTGAGGGACACTGAAAAATTGTCTTACTGAGCAGTGAGGGCTTTATGAACATTTTGGCTTTGCTTCCATATATACCATAGATTGACCTGGATTTGTAAGTATCTTTTGATCTGTAGGCATTTTGCAATAGCTGAGTACTTGGGGATATAGGTTATATCCTGTTTTTTTTTTTTTTTTAATTTCCAAGTGGCGGGCTACTGTGCCAATTGTATATACATTCATTTATCAATAAAGTGCCATTTTTCTTGCTCTAAATATTGTTTCTCAGGTGGCTAATTTTTGTTTTAGAATGCATATTGAAATCAATGATTGTGAAGGCTTATATTATGACGTTTCTTTTGTTTTTTTCACATAAATTACATGCATACCACTGAATTCTTATGTATTTACACATATCTTACACCTAAACTTCATATTTTCATACATGACACCTTTCCTAAGGATGAGATGGTGCATTTCACTTCTTAAAATTTATGTGATATGAATGATTTGAGTGTTATAAATGTAAAAAAGTAAGCTTTAAGTGTTTGCAGGTACCAGAAAGCTATAATTTGATTTTTTTTAGAACAAAAAAAATTTGCAATAGCCACTGCAGCTTTTTCTGCAGAAATTTCATGGCAGCTTCTTGTAACAATTGTAACTGTCTCAAAATGACCCTAAATCTTGTAAACATTTGATCAATAGTAGCTAATCAGCTGTTGGAGTTTGGTTGCAATATGGTTTAATTGCCTTTTAAACTTGAATTGTATTATTGAATTGCATTATTTCTGCAGGATTTTTAGATATGAAAAATTTGGTAGGCAAAATATAAATTCCATTCTAGTAGATCTTTTGGCCTTTTTTCTATGTAAATGTAGATCATCCATTAAGCTGTTAGATTTCCATACATTGTCGAATAAGTAAATTAAAATAAAATCTAGTTAGATATGACCTCATATTATTTCTTTCATATAAATTAGAATGAGCAATCTTGATTTATCTATTCAACAAAAAGAAAAATAAAATTATCCAAGAGTTATATGTTGCCAAATAGAGAAATATTATCTTGGAGATTTACTATTATCTCAGTATCTAGAGTGAAACAAGTAGTTAATGATAATGATCTTCACCACCATTATGACCACCCTTGTTGCTTAGATAAGGATATATAGTTACTTTAAGCAACATAATCAAATTGTAGCTTGAAGGAGAGATTTGTATAGGCCAAAGTTGGCCCTACTTGTCCTCAATAAATAATTGATGTCGAAAAACTTTGAATCCATAACTTCGTCTTCTTGGAGCAGGGATGAGGCTAGTTTAGGATGTACTGCTTCATATGCAATAAGGCTAATGTACATCAGAGCCAAATTATTTTCTTGTTTTTTTTCCTAAGCAAATGGCGATATAGGTATTATTTGAAGCATGTCATTGTCATTATTATTTTGAGTCAATAAATAGGTTGGAACCAAGCTTTCATCTTTGCTATTTGAACTATGATAAGAGGTGGTTTTTAGCCATAAGAGAAGGCAAGGAAACTAGTGTTGGCTCCACTAGTACAATTAGTCATGGTTGTGGCAAGCTTTTATCCTTTTTATATTTAGGAAAAAATATGTTGTATTTATGATAGCAAAAAGGCTTTCCTTAAAAGAAATTTTATAGCAAGTATTAATAATTTGAACTTATATTCATTGAGATAGCATCAATTTTGGTCTAAAGGATTGTGATTTTATCTCATTAATGCAACTTCATAATAGGTTACTCATCATAAGAACAACCTAATCCAAAAATATTTAATTTTAAACAAAAACAAAATCATTAATTTAAAGGATATCTCAATGTTTAATAGCTTGATTTTATCATATACTTGTCTCATAATTTATCTCGCTTAAAAATAAATGTATTCTTTTTCTAGTGTCACATATTGCCCATAATTATCCTTTTGGCAAATAAAATTCTAACGTTCACAAATTTAAGGTAGCTCTCACTGTATTGATTTTTGTCTTAAAATGAGTTCAAGAGGTAGCTCATATAGATTAATACTTCATCCAACTTAATAATAAATGAAAGTTATATAAGAAAAAAAATCAAATTTAAAGCTATCACACTGGTTGAACTTCTCTGATACCAAAATGATTCCATAAAGGGCATGTGTGTAGAATTCAAAAAGAAAATAGAAAGAAAATTATATATATATATATATATAT